AACTCGAGACCGACAGAGCAAGTGCAGGCTGGAGTGGGGGTGGGAAGGTCACTGAAAAGGATGAAATATGGCAAGCCCTGGACCCAGATCAGAGGTGTGAAAATGTGTGTGCATGCAGTGGGGTGGGGGAGGAGAGGAGGAGCTCAGGCGTTTTAGACACATAGCCTGGGTGTGTAAGCTGGGCATCTCAGGTCACTAACACAGGGGTGAGTGCAAGAAAAACAGCCTTCCTGGGCCCAATGGGCTGTAGGCCACAATTGGTGGGTAGGGGAGAGCCAAAGGAGACATGGGGACAATAACAACAACTCTTGCATCCCCGTTCCTGCGTTTCTGTGCCACCTCAAAGATCAGCTGAGCCTTGGTGTCTGCTCAGGGAGCAGACTAGAATCATTTCTTGGATTTTAATTTAATAAGGACAAATGCCAGATACTACACTTATCATAAAATCACAGAATGGCTGAAGTTAGAAGGGACCTCTTAAGAGCATCTTGTCCAAATGGCTGAGGCTGAAAGGGAACCTCTGAAGAGCATCTTGTCCAATCTCCTGCTCAAAGCAGGGCCAGCCAGAGCAGGTTGCTTAGGGCTGTGTCCAGTCAGGTTTTGAATACCTCCGAGGATGGAGACTCCACAACCTCTCTGGGCAATAGGTTCCAGTGTTCAGCTACCCTCAAAGTAATTCTTTTTTCGTATATTTAAACAGAATTTTCTATATTTCAATTTGTGCCCATTTCCTTTTGCCCTTTTACTGGGCACCACGCTTCCCTCCATCAGATATTTATACACATTGGCAAGATCTCCCCCTCATACATCAATAATAAATGGCAGATGCACAAGATGGAGAATGGAAGAAAAGCTGGTAGCCTGGAGAAAGCAATGTAAGGATTACAGTGGATCACAGTCAGAATACGAGAAAAAAATTATCACATCGCTGCAAACATGACAAAGATCATATTGGAACATAAGAACCGGAACGTTATTTGTAAGGCGAGTGACGTCATCCTTCCATTTTCTTCAAAAATGGTCAGTTCTCAGCTGAAGGATCATGGCCAGGGGCATCACAAATCAAGAAAGCTGAGGACCCATCAGAGATAATCCCAATGACAGCAAGAACAATGAGCACTTTGCTTATAAACATCACCTCTGAAAAAGTCTTACAAGAATGGGGTAGTTTTCTCTAGGGAAAAAAGAAGGAAGAAGGAGGAATAAATCTTCAAGGATAGGATATGTTCTGTAGGAGGATATAATGGACGAAAAATAGTAAAAAATAGTAGGCTTAAAAACTAAGGTGAGAGATTAAGGTTGCACCTCGGGAGAACTTTCCAAGGTTGTTAAGATGTGGCATAGATTGCCTGAGAAGTTTCTTCATCTTTGGAAGATATAAAAAGATATGTAGCATCTTTACAGAATGGCAGATGTAGCGTTGATCCTGCTGTTGGAGATCAACTGTCTGATTTCTTGAAATCTTTCTGACTTGATTTTCTGTTTTTCTGTGAAAAATGGTTTAACTACAGCCTGAATATGTGCCTCCCATGAAGCACTGTAGTGCTGTTAACCTAGCCATTTCTTCTATTGCATGCTTTAAAATTATAAATTTCTCTTCGTTTTATTCTCAGTAAACATAAACAAAAACTCTAAAATAGCTAACCAAAATGTTCTTCAGCACCTATAGAACACTGATGGGAGAAAATGAGAATAGGTTAAGATTTAGTTCAAATCATCTGGAGAGATCTGTGAATTTGGACACCTGAAATAGGCCCTTTTTAAACAGAACTATCCTCAAAATATCCGTGGGCATCCTTTCAAATCTGGGCCTCACAAAGATAAAAAATACTCCAAGTCCCGCAGACTGCTGCACTACTCTCAAAGGTGGATTGTGTCATGTTTGTCACACATGGTTCACTGTTACCCTAATTGTTTTTGCAGCCGTTGGCACCATTGCAAAGTGAGCATAAAACACCATCAGACTAATGTAATGCTTTCTTATATTTGATGTGTCCTAATGTGAATGGCTCTGCAAGGCACCGGGGAGCCAGGGTCTCCTGTTTTATGCATAGTTACCTGTCACTCTATCTGCATGGGCTGCTTTCAAAGACCTCTTTGTCTGCAAGGTAAACTCAGGCTGGAGATGATCTCAGACTTTAAATCCCAGCCAAGGGAAGTCATCAGGCTGCAAAACCCACAAAGTTAAAAATACAGGGAGCACTGGAAAATCAACAGGAAACAATTTCTGCTGACTGAAGTTTTCAGCCTTCTTCCAAACGCCAGCCGGCAGCAGCCTGTCGGATGGGACAAAGCAGCTACATGAAAGAAGCAAGGGTTCTTAACTTAGTTCATTAAAGAAGCAGCTAACACCAGGAAAAGATTAGAGTTATATATCTGTGTGTTTCTGGGATGGGGGTATCATTCTGGATTTGCTCACTCCCACAGACCCTCTTTTTACTCCTCACTGCTTGCCAGGGTGCCCTGGACAATAGTTGCCAAAGGGGATTTCTCCCTTTCTTATGGCTCTTGATATTAGCGGGCCTGAAATTGGCCATGGCAGTTTGGTATGAAGTACTTTCCGTCTCACGAGATTCCCAGGCCTGTTTGGATGTCAGGTATTTGAAGACAGCTTTGTTCGGTCTGACTGCCTCGGGGCGATGCCTGTCAGACTAACTTAGTTAGACTATAACTGCCAGACATCAAATGAAGATTGCCCAGTTTCACCCCAGCAAAGCAACATGTTAAGTTCTTTAGTACAAAATCAGGAACAATTATGGAAAAAAAGCACAACAAACATGAAAACACAGGCTTAAGCCATCCATATCTTGCTCTGGCTTTCACAGAGGGTGAAAACATCCCTCAGCTGCAGAAGCTGAAGGTCCAGCTCAGGTACGCTCTGCTTTCAGAGTGGGACCTCTCTGAGCCATACAGAGCCAAAGAGGATGAGAAACTCACCCTTTCACCTCCCCACTTTATAGGGTCTCTCATCTCCACAAGTAAGCTAGCGGGTATGCTACGTCTCGCCTGCCTTGACCTGCCCTGCGGAGCTTGCTGGCGGTACATCTTCTCTTGCTGAGCATGTTCAGGGTGGACTCCCCTCTCTCTGCACCACCAATGTCCTCCACTTGGTAACTAAAAGGCTTCCCACCTTGTGGTCATTCCCAGTTCTCTGCTATTGAGCTTTAAACATGTAAAATGCAGGTGCATTTTAGAAGTACATATTTTCTTCTCTTTGATCCAATATGATCACCGAAGATCAGCTAATCTAAGCAGTGTGGCTGTGGCTGAGGCAGAACTGTGCAATGTCATAAGAAAAGTCCAGCCAGTCACCGAACCAGTAACTTTCCCTCTGTGTGTGTTTGAAGTAGGAATTATTTCTTGGCAACAGGAATTTTCCCCCTCCTTCCATTGTAACTGGGAGTTACAATGATGTAAGATCATATAAGGGTGTTGCTTTGAAAAGTTTACACAGGGTTGCCGACATGAAATGCAGCAATCTCATTACATCATCGGGTCACCAGTCCACAATCATTGCTTAAAAGTTACAAGGATTTTAAAAATAGAAAGTTAGAAGTGATTTCTGTATTTGTAGTCTGGCCTCTGAGCCTTTACAGGTGCACTAAGTCTCCATCTGCAAGTTTTTCCATGTGCCCATGAGGACAAAACATGCTTTTTTGGCCTTTTTTTTTCTTTTTTTTTTCTATGTAAAAGTTGTTCCTGCCGCTATCTTTTGGTTATAGCTAGCAGAAATACCAGAAAAACATTAAATATTACAAGGAGCTCAATAAAATCACAAGCTTTAGCAACACCATGTAAGAGCACTGATATTAGGTAGACGCTGGTTAGGATATGATTCTGCCGTTGCCCAGTTTCCATCACATTAAGTCTGAAAGTAACACATTAACAGGAAGGGGGAAAAGGCTGCTCAAAGAGAAAGACAAAATTTTCTGTGTCAGATTATATATATAGATAGGCAAACGTCTGCTTGAGCACGAAAAGCCAGTCATCTAAAATAGGCTTCTGAATCTATCTAGACATTCACCCATCTTCATCTTGCTGGCAAGCTAGGCCTTGCGTGCTCCAGCAGTAAGCATAATAAATGAATATGTTATTCTCGTCTAAGGTCTACTCATTCGCTCATAAAGAGCAGATTAAGAAGTTGGAGCATGAGTCTAGCCCTCATCAGCTAATCCTGACATCCTCATCTTACTCCGAGTGGCCTGAGACCCCCGAGTCTCATTTGCACATCTGTCTGAAGACTATGTCAGACGAGCAGTACAGCTAGCTTCCAGGCTGGAGGATTATTACACCTCTGGCCCAGTTAATCGCTCTGATTAATGTCTTAACCTTCACTGACACCCACTACAGTCATAATCACCCCAAAGTGCATTGCCAATTGCTTCCCGTAGCTTAAATATTCTTTTCCAACCTTTCCAGACTTGTAAGTCGCACCTCTTTTAAAAAGTAAATCGTTTTAATAATTGAGTGGTACTGTTAATAGCCTACCCAGCTTTGCTAACCCTTTAATAGTTAAAATCTTAATATGTAAACTGCATCGGGTGGGTGCCTCAGCTTATCACCTTCCTACAGCATAATGAGGCTTTTTAGCTATTTAGGGAGGTATAAATCTTTTGTGTTTGGTTTATAGCTGGCCAGTGGCACGACAGCCGACTCAGACATAATTCTAAATGAATGTTTCCAAGTGGAAACTTGGAATTTGAATTCAAATGACCTTACCTCTTTCCTGCATGAATTTTTCAGCTTGTTCATTCTTAATTCCTTCAGTACTTATTACTGCAATGAGCCTAATCCTATATACTTGTACACCCCAAGTGTGGGAGCCATAAATACTTCTGCAGTCTCTCCAGGGCAAATCAGCTGTAATTGGATCTACTGTTGCCTCATGAAAAAAAAAAATGGAAAGACACATTCCATCTGAAGACAATTCTGTGTCTGTGTGCATGTGTTTGTGTCTCTTCTGTCCTCAAGTAACGCTCTGTCCTTTTACTCTGCTCCAGGCTGAGTTCTCCGAGCTGAACCTGGCTGCTTATGTCACTGGCGGCTGCATGGTGGACATGCAGGTCACGAGGAATGGCACCAAGGTGGTAAGGTGAGGAGCATTAGCTTTCCTTGCAAAATCTGGCTTTCTGGAGCAATGTGGGAACAAACAGGATGACCTAGGGGTCTGACCAGCATCTGAACTAAAGCAAGCACAGTGCTGTTGATTTCAAATTTTCCTGGAGGTGTGGAAAGACTGATCTGACTCTGGTGGTTTTGTACCAGGTCTCAATTGCAGGTTACGCCATACAGTCATTGTTTCCTGTCCAGACCCTTCGTTTAACCACAAATGCCTCTTTTTCAGGTTCTTTTAAGCTTTGGGCCTGCTAGTCTGAGGGATAGAAAATGGATCTTCCTTTCACTTGATTTTTCTCTCCTGTACTGTTCTGTCAACTCACCTTCATTATATACAGTATTTTCCATGCGTTAGCCTGCCTCTCCTAGCTCCAGGCTCCGGCACACTGCCCTCACAATAGCCACAAAGTTCTTCTGTGATTGCCAGCCAGCCAGCCTGATTTGCTCCTGAAATACCACCTTTTTTGCCAGAGATTCCCAATCCTTCAGCCTTGCCCTGTAGTTTTTCTCAGGGGCAATACCATATCTCCATTTGATGGGGATTTCTATCCCTGCTAGCATTGCTTTGTAGTTGCAGTCGTTTCAGGCAAAGACACTTTACGTGGGCAATGCTTCCCCAGTCACCCATCCATTTCATTATTTAGAAACAGTGGTCCCCTTCTTTCTGACACCAGGATGCCTGCAATATGCAGTTAGTATGTTAGATGTAATCTTGCCAGTGCTATATAAAGAGCAGTGTAGGATGTCGTCACATCTGTGCATGACGGTAAAATGTCTTCTTTTACATAGTCCCAATGTTACCTTTCACCTTTTTATTCCCAAGACCACATCGTTATTAGTTTCTGTCATTCCAATTTCCAGTCCTATATTTCATCTTTGATACAATAGCTTTTCTGCATTCATGGTGAAATCTCATTGTTACTCTAGGTTCATTTTTCTAGCCTCTCTACTTCTTTTTGTACAATTCCTTTGCACTTTTTGGTGTATATAGCATCTACAGGTTTAATAACGCTTGCATATTTAATCAGCACCTTTGTCTATTTGCTTCTAGTTCAGAAACAGAGATACAGATATGTAAGATTGCTGGCAGTGAGATTTTTGAAGGGGATTATCAGAACAGCTGAAAAATGGTGATTCTAACAGCACCAGCCTCAGTTTAATTTCTCAAGACGTCATTTGTAGTTCAAGCATTCCAAAGCAATGCATGTCACTGTTGATTAGCTATGACAGTGGTCCATTAATTCCTTTCAGGTCTTGACAGCTTTTAATATGTCCACAAGTCTCCATTCATTCTTTGGTACAATTTCATGAGTCTCTGCTAAAAACTTTAAAGTTCAAGTCTGTTATATCCATTTGCTTTCTCTTGTCCCACAAATGTCTGTTTCTCAGTAAAGAAAAGTATATGTCCTGTGAACCCATCACTGGAATGTCCATCAGCCAGCGTGCTTGTGCTAATGCGCTATTGTGTTCATTTGCTCATGATGCTGGCAGGTTTCCCAAGAATAATTTTCTAGGTTGATCACATCTTCATTTTCCTTCCCATGCCTTTCCTCCCAAAGTCATTCATAAGTCTGGCAGAAAGCTCTTTGGCTATTAAACTGAAACTGAAGACAAAATTTATTTCACATGAGTGTCTGGGGCATGGTGTTCATGTTTCTGCTTGTGGTAAATACACATATATCAAAGCTAGCTTTTCTGCACAGCTCTTTATATATGAAAATACATATGTTTTTACAAGTGGCAGTAGTTTAGCTTTTGTGTTTTCACCTATGCATGCTTATGCATAAAAGCTTTTGTGTAGCGGGAGGTGGATTTGGCAAACAGATGCCTGTCTAGATACCCAATATATATGGCTATGTGTATGTTTTGTCAATGCTTTGAAACAGTCCTTACAAACACTACAGCATGTGCTGATGTGCCCCCTCCTCCGCAGCTCGGTGAGTTAAGAGTCCACAGTAGCAAACTTACACAACTACTCTTACCAAGACTTTAGAAGTTGTGAAGAATACAAAAAAATTCTTCTTTGCTTTAGAAAATCAATTAAGGAACATACTGCTAATGGCCTGTGCGGAAGCCTTTCAGCCAGCCCCTCAGCACTGGCCAGCATGGAGCTGCGCAATATATTTCCCCTCAGCTTTTCATTTGTTACCTCTCCTGCAAACACTGCCCTGCTCCGTGGATGCTTTTTAGCCTTTCTCCTATTAGCGAAGCAAAAAGAAGACGAAAAACAGCATGTCTTATTCTTTGGGCTGAATCCTATATATCCCATAACCTGATTCTTGTACCTCCCTCCTTTCTTGTCCTTGGTCCTTCCGCTCACTGCTTCATAACAATACTCTGCATGCTCACACAAAAAGTAAAGGGAAACGTTTCGTTATTGTGTTTTCAGTGTATTCCTGCTTGAGTGCTAGATGATACTCTTTTATTCATGTTGTCTACTTAGATTTTCCCCTGCGCCAGCAAGTTACGGGCTGTTATGTAGAGTACTATCTTCAGGAATCTTTGTTTGCAGAGAGAGAGATTCGTGTTGCATATAAGCATACACCAAGCTATTGAAACATTTTTGAGTGGAGATGCTCTACCCCTTTAGGCATGGAAAGAGGCAAAGATGCTTTGGTCCACCCACACGTATGCAGCTTGCTTTCTGCTGCCCTGCAGCCCGCCCTCTTCCCTGCCTGTGCCCAGGCTCCACCTGGCCACAAGGATGCATTTCCAGACACCTGGTGGCACGCTACCGCCACAGGGGCAATGCCACCCAAGGCACCCTCCATGCACAGGCACACACCAACCCCGCTGACGAAAACTTGATATTCACTGTGGTTCAGTCATTCTAGTCAGGGGAGCACTCCAGCTCTGAGGAAAATGGGAAGGATTGAGATGACTGTAATATTGTGGCAATAAATGAGTGATTCTAAGTGAATGGCCTCAGCAAACACTACAGGAGGAACAGCGAGGAGAATTTCTGCTACCAAAACATACAAACTGCAGTGCAGGGGGCTCCCCGCTGTAGAGCTGTTTGTATTTAATCAAGGAATGGAAAGGTCCACGTGGCCCCTCAAGTTTGGGAACCACAAGAGTAACTAAAGAAATTTAGAAAAGAGATTTGTCAAGGATAATAGCAATGGTAGTAGTAATAATAATACATATAGTCATAATAAAGTAGATGATTGAACACAACTGAAAAAAGATATTAGTATTTCTAGGAGACCAAATTGTTTGCCTCGGATGCAATTCTTCAGCCTTTGTGCATGCAAACTGAGGTCGCTGAGGTTCTTGATGATGTTCTGGTCAGAAATCCCTTCTCCATCACTTACTAGGCTTTTGTTAATTATTAAGCAAGATTTTCAGTCCCAAGGTAGAACATTTCTAGACCGTGGGATACAATATTAGTACTCATTTTTGAATACCCTGAATCCTAGGAAAGCAGATTGACAAGTTATAGGAAGGAAATATGACAGCATCTAGGTAACAGGCACACTTAGGATTCCTTCCCTGCAGTAACCTTTCTTCTTCACACTCCTCTGCAAAGCAATGGCAATAGAGTGCAGTACTTTGAGCTAAAAATAGTGAATACACTACAGGCCAGTGAATTTTAAATCGATGAAATTATTTTTATTACTTTTATTATTAATAATAATACTTTTATTAATGATAATAAAGCACTGGTGTATTCTCTGTAGTTTTAAATTATGTTAACTAAACTATTACCATATTCAATTCTATCATTTTATAGCAGGTCTCCTAGTTCTTTATTGAACCTGGAGACATCTTATTGCATGTTTAAATCAAAGTTCTCTCTTTGCTGATCTCTTGATCCTTTCTGACACCTCAATTTTAAGCCATTCTTTTAGACTCTGTGCAAACTGATTTGAATTACACCAGGAAAGAACTATGGTTCTTCTTGCCAGAAAAAAACGTATCTCCTAGTATGAAGATATAATAATCCTTGAAGCCCTACACTTATCACTTGCCTCAGGCAAAAGAAAAAAAAAAAAGCTTTAGAAGCATTATTGACAATTAAACAATTAAAGAGAGCAAGTAACTGGAAGTATACAAACCTCAATGCTTCCTAGCCTGAGTATCTTTAAAAAAGTCACTTCAGCCAAGTTAGTAAACATCATAAATGAAATTAGGTATTACTTAGCTTGCCTGATTTTTATACGAGTATGGCTCTCATAGTTTAATCTTGCTGTAACAAAATTCTGGCTTTCCACCTCCTTTCTCTCCCTATTAAATTTTGCACAGCTGTAATAAGGGGTGAGTGATTTGATAGTCTTAGTGAAAGGTGGTATTGGAGGTAGAGAATATCATCTAATAGGCATGTAAAACTGCTTGTGTTTTCCTGAGACATTTCCACCATGAAATGCAATGGCTCCATCAGCTTATTCAGTGCAGGTTATCTTCAAAGCCAGAAGAAAAAGAGCTGGCCGTGGAGCATCTCTTGTGAGCTCTGTCTCTGAGCACCCCATTGACCCGTATCACATCGGACACCGCTCCTCGTTTTGATCCAGGACCGAGAAGGCAGATGCAAAGAGCGCTAGGAGCAGTGTCCGGCTTGGCCAGGGCTGTGGGAGGGGAACCGCCGGCATACCAGCCCTCGTTACTGCCACGCACCTTTGGTTAGGATTGGCCGCAGACCTTTCACAAAGAAATGTTAGATGTGTGCAGCTGGAGACAATACTTGTTCGTCCCAAAGGATCCCTCACCGATTTAGACATAGCAACCCCTTCAACAGCAAAACGCAGCCACTTCTCGATGCAGTGGCTGGACCAGTCTGGAGCTACTGAGCAGAGCAAAAAAAAAAAAAAAAAAACCATGGGCCAATGCCTACTTTTAAAATACTTGTGTGGATTCTGCATCCTCCTTCCCTTTGCACAGGTCTACACTTGCACACATGAACATACACAGTAAACTGCCTGGAGTCTAATTTACCTTAGAAAACTATAGCGCTGTGTCACCTCTACTTGGCTTACATGT